CCCACAACGGCAACCTCGTCAACTACTCGTCTCTCCGCTCGGACCTCGAGGATAAAGGTACGATCTTTAACACGACGTCGGACACCGAGGTGATTTTGCATCTCATTGCGCATTCAAAGTTGAGACCTTTCATTGCCCACAACGGCAACCTCGTCAACTACTCGTCTCTCCGCTCGGACCTCGAGGATAAAGGTACGATCTTTAACACGACGTCGGACACCGAGGTGATTTTGCATCTCATTGCGCATTCAAAGTTGAGACCTTTCATTGCGAGGCTGGTTGAGCTTGTGAGGCTGTTGATGGGGCTTACTCGCTTGTGGTTTTGACTGAGGATAAGCTCTATGCTGTTAGGGATCCACGCGGGTTTCGCCCGTTGGTGATGGGTAGGAGAAGGACGAATGGGGCGATTGTTTTCGCATCGGAGACTTGCGCGCTCGACCTGCTTGATGCGGTGTATGAACGAGAGGTGAATCCTGGGGAAGTGATTGAAGTTGATGTTAATGATTTGTCAATAACTTCAATGTGTTTGATGCCGAAGAGGGAAAGGAAAGCTTGCATCTTTGAGCATATTTACTTTGCATTGCCGAATTCGATTGTATTTGGTCGAGCTGTTTACTCTTCTAGGCTGTCTTTTGGAGAATTGCTCGCTGAGGAGTCGCCTGTGAAGGATGCTGATGTTGTGATCCCTGTGCCTGATTCTGGGTTTTTCGCGGCGCTTGGATATGCAAACAAATCAGGGGTTCCTTTTCAACAGGGGCTAATTCGATCGCATTATGTTAGTAGGACATTCATTCAGCCTTCACAGGAGTTGAGAGATCTTGCAGTGAAATTGAAGCTTGCTCCTGTACCTGGAGTTCTTGAAGGAAAAAAGGTTGTGGTTGTTGATGATTCAATTGTGAGAGGGACTACATCGTCGAAGATTGTGAGGTTGATAAAGAATGCAGGGGCAAAAGAGGTGCATATGAGGATTGCTAGTCCTCCAATTGTTGGCTCTTGTTATTATGGGGTCGATACGCCAAGGACTGAGGAGCTGATTTCGAATAGGATGGATGTTGAGGGGATTAGAAGGAAAATTGGGTGTGATTCGCTTTCGTTTTTGTCATTGGAGAGCCTTAGGAAATTGCTCGGAGAGGAGGCATCAACATTTTGTGATGCTTGTTTCTCGAGGAATTATCCGGTGCCTCCGGTGGAGAATGAGGCTGACAGGGCGATGTCGGAGTTGGCGACAGTTACTTAGGGACAATGATGATGAGAGTATGTCTTATTTTGCCTTTTTATACAATGCTTACTTTTGCTTACAGGATATAGGAGATGAAGAGATTGGGTCATGTTTGTGACATGAGATTTTGAGTTTATGTATGAGTATATTTTGCTTTATTTATATGTTTTTTTGATAGATGTTGGATATTTATAACATAAGGGAATGGTTTTGGATTAAAAGGATAAAGTTACCAGTTGATTATTCTGTTATCTTGTCTTCTACTATATTTTTTGATGTCTTGATGTTTAGTTCATATAGTTGATTATGCAGTTTTTATCTCAACATGTGTTACTGTAATTAGTATGGGCGGATTTCTTTTTTACCTCTGTTTTTGTAATTTTGAATTCAAATTTTCATTTCACCAATCTGTTTTATTTGTTTAAACTTGGGTATCAACAAAAATTGTTACAATGAAGAATGAGGTTATTTTTTATTTGCCTTTTTGTATAATGCTTACTTGTGCATTCTTGATCTAGGCGAGGAAAAAATTTAGTCGTGGTTTGTGACTTTGAGATTTTTTTTTTAGTTTTTATTTTGTTTTTGTTATGTTATTGGGTTTTTTTTTTTTTTGCTTTATTTATGTCTTTTTGTTAGTGATGCGTTTGAGTTTTGAACATTTATAAGGGAATGAATTTTCGACTAGAGCTAACTTAAGTTGATGATTCTGTTGTATTTGCTTCAGTATATACTCTCTTTTTCTGATGTTTTTCCTTATGCTGGTTAATTGTGTAGCTTAGATCTTGGATTTTGTTATTGTAATTAGTTTTCATGAATGTGCTCATATTCATACCTTTTCTTTTATGCTTACTTCTCAGGTAAGGCTTGTGTTATTATTGGGTTCACACTAAATGGGATCGGTTATTTATATTGAAATTATCATTGCTTCAGCCAATGTGCTGATTGCAGGTAATAGCATCCATGTAGGCTGACAGAAATTGTTTTAACACATTTATTATTCTAGGGTTATATTTTTGCACGGTGTCTATCCGATGCCCATTCATCCTCAGAAGCATGATACAGGTTGGCTGACTACTTTTAAGTGAGTCGGCGCTGTTTAGCAACAACTTGAAGCCGGGTTTGATCCTGACCTCATTTTGAGAAATATTGTGTTTGGCAAAAACTGGGCCTTTACTGGCCAATTTTCCTTAGGCCGAAAAGGTGGCCAGTAAACTGGTTCTTTGTTGGACACCCTCCCTCTGGTTTATTCCTAAGTCCTATCCGATTAGGATAAAACTAGGCCTGGATCAATCTTGATCCAGGATTTGGACCATGACCAAGTTTGTAAGGAGAGAACTGAAGAGCTTTTCCCCTACCTCATTTTTCTAAACCTTATGGGACCTGTCTTTCATCATTAACTTCTTAGTCTTTATCATCATTATCATCATCAAAGCACATTGAAGTAGGAGGCCAGGGACCATAAGGATTTGTAAAATATTTTATAAACAATGATACCTGTCCATGGACAAGATCTGGCCTCAGAATAAGATCCATAGCAAAAGCTATTTTATTGATCATATGCAATTTGAGTTCAGTGAACTAAGTACCCAAATCCTCTCCATAATCTGAATGAATGGATTAAGAAGATAAGACACGTCAAAAGCTTATAGAGATTGTTAACCTCGTGGAAAACTTTGTTTACGGTTTACTCATGATGCCCTTGGGGTGTGGTAATTGACCAGCTTCAGTTTCTACTTAGCCGCCGCTGTATCAAACAATGAAAATTCGAATATATATGGTGAGAAACTCCATGAGGAAAACTCCCTGCTAAATATCTTGGGATGCCCCTGTCTGCTGGTAGATTGAGTATGGCTTAATGTCAACTGATGGTGGATAAAATCCTTCACGAGAGCAACTGTTGGTCCGCTAGAAGGTTATCGTATGCTGGGAAAATCATCTAATCAAGATCTGTCTTGTTTGGCATTCAGGTCTTTTGATCGAGTTGATTTATGCTTCTGAAATCTGTTTTTTAAAATGTTGATAAAGCTTGTAAGGAGTATTTGTGGGGAGGAACTGAGGAAGGGGTAACTCTCATAAATTACCTTTGGTGGCATGTAGTCATGTTTACAAATCTAAACATGTAGGAGGTCTGGGGCTATTTCATGCGGAAGTCTGGAATACATTCTCTATTGCAAAAATTATTTGGCATGTGCATTGTCGAAAGGAATCGCCGTTGATAATTGGGTTCATCAATTCTATTTAAAACATTCTGATACTCGGCATGTAAGTGTTAAAGGTGGCGTTTCTTGGCAATGGAAGAAAGTTCATGTTAAGAGACTTGTTAATGCATACTTGAGATATTTCAATTATTGAGCTGCTAAGGTATATGGCTTACTGTATCATGAGGATGACTTTGTTTCATGGTATTCTTTAGCGTGGAATCATCTTGAATCCCTAATTTAACGGTTTGGAGCTAAATGGAGGTTGTTTACTCAAGATAGGATGGAGAGGATGAGAATTTTACAGAATAACGGACGTTGTTTTTTGTTCTCAAGGTGAGAACATCAACCATTTGTTTTTCGAATGCCCATTTTCGGCTACAGTTTAGAGTACGATCCTGCGATGGAATGGTGGCGGTAATTGGCCTAGTCCGTTGGGATCGGATTTCACATTGGGGTTGCTTGCATCTCAGAGGGAGATCAGTTAAGAAGACAGTTGTTCCAGCATGTATTGTAGCAGGTACCTACATTGGGGTCGGGTCGGGTCAGTAGGTCGGGTCATAAATTATCACCCCTATATCTACCAGATAGATATAGATGGACAGGAACCGCATAATATTTAGCAGTAAAGGGGTCCTCTATTGAGCATATTGGGTTCGACATCAAGCGCGAGGTCTTCACATGGATGCTGCATACTAAAATTCCCCATCATAGTACTATGTATTTGACGTACAGGGGACTTGTTTCCTTGTTGTTTTCACTCGGGTGTGCCTGGGTTTTGTGTGATGTACTTTTGACGCTCAGTGGTAATGGAATTTTTTCAGTTACTTTTATTAAATAAAAAAAAAAAGAGTCCATGAGCTCTCAATTTTCCACATGAGTATGGAAATTTCTTGTCGCGCAACTTTGTCGGGTTGTTCACCAAGGCATATTGATATCTTGCTCAGTTTACGCTTTCCTCGGCTGGATAGGGACCGTCCTTCCAATTTGAGCCACAGAATTATATAATGCAACACAAGTTGGGGCTTATGCTCTTTTGATCATGCAACTAGTTGACTGGCTAATTCTGTTACATCTCAGCCAAAAAGCTAATTCTGTTTTTTTTTTTTATAATTTGTTTAGTTTGTTTCACTTTTAGCCCACGACCTCATGAGTCTTAAAAATTTCGAATGAGGTGTTTTTTTTTTTGTGAGATTACCTAGCTTCTAATGGCTTCTAAAATGTCCTGTGTGTAAATTTGCGATTCAAAATATGTGTGTTTTGCTCTCGTTTACTATGCCTCCTAAGTTTTTTGTACTGACATCATATGCCAGTTGACTGGCAGTTCGTTCCGCGATGATGTTAGTGGCCATAAGTTTGTATTTAGGGGCTGTTTGTTTCTTCGTTTTTGGGTGGGAAAGAGCCCGAAAGCTGCCACAGATGGGACTGCTGTGGAGTTTATTGTAATGACTAAAGTTGTAATAGATTCGATAGCAATGAAGAAATCAACTTTCACCGCAAACAGGGTGCTACACAGTCAAGAGTGGATACCGACTTCTTCGCCACACTATGCTTGATACTGCTTCCACCTCGGATTCTAGGGTAGCGAAGTGGTGGTCCTTGAATGGCATGCGAAGATCCCACCAAAGATTAGAGTGTTCCTTTAGCGTCTGTTCTATGATGCTCTCCCCACCTCAGCTGGTTTATCTCGCAGGGGATCTCTGTACCCCCTAGTTGCCGCATTTGCTCTGCTGCCTTTGAGACCGCCTTTCATATCTTCGCTGTCTGCTCCTTTGCTCGTTTAGTGTGGGAGTCCTTAGATCTTTGGGAAGTGATTGATGGTTTTCGAGGCACGTCTTGTGGTGATTTTCTTTTCCATCTCACATCTGTTTGCCCTGGGGACTCTCTGGCTTTGGCTTTCACAAACATGTGGTTTATCTGCCACAGATGGGACTGCTGTGGCAGCTTTCGAGCTCCTCAGTCTCCAACCAAACGGACCCTTACACCCTTTCTTTTTGTGTACGATAAATCTTATGTACATGTATACGTGTTAACATTACTTGTGTACCCGCACGAACTGTATTCCTATGTGCAAAAGCTACAGTTTTTTTAATTTTTAATTTGAGAGAAAAAGACGCAGCTTTTAGTATGGCTTTTATGCTTCTCCAGTTCACCAGAGGATCTGTTTGGTTGGATGGAAATGAAGTTGCAAATGTAAATAGAACAATCAGATTTGTAAATATATTGCTTAATTTACAACTTTGTGGTTAAGAAAAATAAATGTGGGGGGGGGGGGAGGAATATGCGCTCTCATGGTGGTGGTGGTGGTAGAGAGGCCTCGGTCTTGGTGACTCAGATTCTCTGTTTTGTGGAGGAAGAGGATAGAGTTAGAGGTCTCTCTCATGACTTTGTCACCCTTCCAAATGGCCTTCTACTTGGTATCCCCCTGCTCTTGGTTTGCTGAAGCTCAACACAGATGTTGTTGTTCATTTGGAATGAGATATTATTGGTTTGGGAGGTGTTATTCGGGATCACCATGGACATGTGATTGGTTGCTACTCTATGGGGATCAGGGGCCCTATGTCTGTGGATCATGCAGAGCTATTGGCTGTCCTGGAAGGCATTCACTTTGTTCGGCGTATGAACTGGAGGATTTCAGTGGTGAAAATTGACTCTCTAAAGGTTGTCTCCTTGGTGGACTCTCATTTTCCTTTTACTTCCTTGGCTCCTATCGCAAATAAAGTTTGCGCTGATCTGACTATTACTAACTGCTCTAAAGTTTCTTATGTAAGGCGCACTGGTAATGATGTTGCTCATTCCCTAGCTAAGTCGGTTGACTATGCTACTACCAATTTGGTAGGACAAAAGCTCCACTATTTGAAAAGGGAATTAAAAAATAAAGATAATTCCACCTCATTAAGAAAAATCTTTTCAAATCCAATTAGTGAAACCATCTACACATAAGTTTCCTTATATATGACAAAATTTTGTAGCTTTTACCTGATTATTTTTTAACCTAACACTAAACACCAAAACCAAATAGCCCCTAAATTATGCTGTTGTGTAGTGCACGAATAAACATACACCAGCTGTAGGAACTATTTTGGTTACATACTATCCTATACTATATATCATAAAAGATCAATTACTGGATGGTCTGACTATTGCTTGTTGCTCTAAAGTTTCTTATGTAAGGCGCACTGGTAATGATGTTGCTCATTCCCTAGCTAAGTCGGTTGACTGTTTGTCCTCTTGTTTTTGGTCTGTTTCTATTCCTTTGTTTTTGAGACAGAGTGTTGTTGAGGACTTGGCTGGTTAGTTTACCCTACCTGCCTTTTAAAAAAATATATATTATAGAAGACCAATTATGTGTGGCCGCGTCGAATGAAGATTGAGGGACAAACTACAAATTCACGGATGAGACCCGCCCACTTAAGTTTTTCCTTTAAAAGCATGCCTTTTGTCAACTTTAAACCCTTTAGAAAAGCTAATTTGAACCCACTCACTCAACTTCGGTTTTAGACCTGGGAATGTTTTACCTGGACATGTTTAAACATGTTTACTTTTACGTTTAAGCCCTGTGGTAATGTCATTGCAATAATTTTCAATATAGAAATTCAAAATTTTAAAGTTTTACCTTTGGAAATTGCATCTTTGATACTGTAAGGGGTTGTTTGTTTCCATAAACTTAGAAATCTTGCATTTCGAAAATGGGATCCGCAAGTTAAAAATCATGGTTTTTTATTTTTTTTAAGTAAATACGCGTTTGTTTGGCATTTTTATAGTATGGATTTGGGGTTGGCATCTAGGATAGACTTATCAAATATAGCTCCCTAAATTTTTGCCGATTTCAACTAGATTTGTGATTTTAGTAACACATCGTCAACAAAATTCATGTGCAACCAAACAAACTTTTGTTGGAATTTATCCTTCAAGCAAATCCTCTTTAATGTTTATTGCAAACAAATAAGATTTTGAATATAGATTTTTCAAAATCTCTTACATGCATCAGGATGCAATCCACGAGCCAAACAACTGCTAATAGTAGTTCATTGATCAACCTCGTAAATGATTTGGTGGTTGAACATAATGAGTAATCCAAGAAATTGAAATTTTAGATGAAGTTGTTAGTTCCCTTCAATGGAATAAAATCAACGTTGACTCTTACGATAAGAATGAAAGATTGATAATAAAAAGAGGCTAAATTGCACTTAAATGTCCTATAGTTTCACCAACATTGCATCTAACTGATCCCAATTTTAAAACAGAGCAAATAAATACCTCACAGTAATTAAATGCGGCAGATTAATGCCCTGAAGTTAAAAAAATCCGGATGGTGTTAATATTTCTCTACGTACCCAAGATTATCATATAACACATGGTATTAAAGTATAGCTTTTAGAAACTTTAGGGTATTAAAGTAAAGTTATTTACAAAATGAAAGTATTTATATACAATATTAGGTAAACAATATGGCATCAACATGCAACATTAAGTAAATAAGAGGGGACCAAAGTGCAACATTTTAAAACTTTAAGACATTTATCTATAATATTTAAATATTATGGGGTATTCATTTGCTCGGTTTTAAAACAAAAATCGCTTAAGTGTAAGGTTGGTGAAACTATAGGGCATCTAACTACTATTTAGCCTTAAGAAAAGGTTTAATATAAGCTCAAAGCATATGAGCCTGATTTTTAAAACAAAAATTTTCAGCTTTACATTAAATTAATAATTAGTGTCCAATGGATTTTTGTCAAGGATATTCTCTCAAGCTAGACAATTTCCTAAATTGCGTTAGTCCAGCTTATCACCTTTGAAACTTGAAAATCTAATCGAAAAGATATAGTTAAATCTAGATAAGAAGAAAAACGAAAAAGAAAGGCTATAATCAAAAGTTATACTTTTAAATTAAAAGTTGAATAAAAAAAATTGGTCCTTAAGTGTTCTCGCCGTGTAGAGTAGATCAACTCATGTAAATCTGAATTTAAAAAGTCAAATATTATTCCCTTATATTTTTCATATTTTGACTTAGTCCCTGCTATCAATGAGGCTGCTTTTAGTCTTAAGTTATTTGAACTAGCCCCTCAAATTATTAATATTGCTATTAGGTCTCCCTGGTCTGAAATAATTTTGAAATTAGTTCCGCAAATCAGTAGTATAATTAGCAATTAGAGAGATAAGTAAGAAACACCTTACGAGGAACTAGGACCTCATAGAAATTCCGATGATTGAAGGAACTAATTTCTCTAGTAATTCCAATGATTGCCTGGACCAAATCATAATATCTTAAAAATTATGGGACTTACTAATAATTTTAATTATCTGGGGCCCTAGTTTCTAAATATAAAAGATGTAAAGGACTAGTACTAAAAAGACCCATTTAAAAAAAAATATGAAGAAAGTTTATGGGCTGTGCCTGTGAATTTCTCAGTGGATCTTCATCACAAATAAAATATGTCAATTTGACAAGGCGGTATATGCAAAAAAGCAGAAACAGTTCTCCTCCTAAAATCTTTTTCGAAGGTCTCGGCGTCATTCTTCACTTCCTCTCTCTTCTCTCTCTCTCTCTCTTCTCCTCCTCGCTCTCTCTCTCTCTCATCGCAATTCCCAATTCAAATGTCAAAAACCCTAATTCCCATCGAAAATCTCCGGCGATCGCCAGAAATCGTTTGAGAATCGCCGCAGTACCCTTTCTACCCCTTTGAGAATCGCGAAATACCGATCATGTCCCTGCCGCCATCATCCTCCATGAACTCCCAATCGCCGAGCTTGAAGACCTACTTCAAGACTCCAGAGGGAAGGTACAAGCTTCAGTATGAGAAGACTCACCCTGCTGGCCTTCTCCATTACTCTCATGGCAAGGCCGTGTCTCAGGTCGATCTCTTTCACTTGGGCCTAAGAATTAGGGTTAGGGTTTTCGAATTTCTAGGGTTTAGATTGATCTCAGTATGCTTTACCTTGTAATTGTGCCGCTAGTGAAAATGCTTGAATTTTGGGCATGAAAATGATGTAACTTGGGCCAATCCCTCAATTGGTTAGTTTCATAGTGATTTAGTAAGGGAATCCGTGACCAAACTTTTTTCTGATTTAGCTGTTCTGTAGTTTCCTTTTCATTTGATATTGGTTTCAGTGATTTGTGCTGTTATTTCATTAAAATGGAACCTAAGATGGCCGAAATGCGAATAAAGCAGACGATGAGATCTTAATTTGATTACTGGGTTTGTAATTTACTTGGTCATTGGTAGTTGATTTTATTTATATAGATAATTAGCAAATGCTAAACAGAGGATTAGCAGTTTGACGTCTATATATAAGGATAAAGGAGATGAGCAAAGATTTTCAATCTATTATGGGGCTGAGCTTTATGAGACATGCATGAAACTATGTCAGGAATCGGCATCTGAAAACCTATTTTGATTTTATGCTAGGGAAATCAACTATGGAAGGTGATTGATTAGTAAAACAAATAACGGAGATGTATAGAAGAAGGATATATGCAGTTAAATTGATGTGACTAAACATATATATGATCAAGTAACTAACATGATGTGAATGATTGGAAGGAAGTACATGTCATTCTTCATCACTATAGGTTTACAACCGGTATCAATATTAAATCTTTATCTCTTTGCCTAGTTATGGATGATCTTCCTCGGAGTATTTAGGATTAATTCTGCAGCAATTATTGTTACCAATGACGTGATGCTATTTGATGGGGCTAGGAAATGAATAATGCTTAAAGTAGAAACCTGAAGAGAAGCTTGGCAGTAAAAAAGTTAAAGAGTTTGTTGATTGACAAAAGAATATTTAGATACTTTAGCATAATTGAGAAGGAAAGTAAACGTATAATACAGTTGATTGTTAGACGTGGGTGGCCATTTTCCAAGATGGTATACCTCGTGGAAAATGTGTTTCATAGAATGAAAGGAAACGATATTAAGGACCCAACTCCAACATTATTTGACATAATTGATTTTGAAGTGGGGTCTAAAATATTTTTATTGGGGGTTGAATGGTGACAGAGACACAATTCCTACATCTGAAGCCAACATGTTCAACATGAGTTTGAAATGGATAAAGCTTTCAAAATCAAACTCAAAACTTTATACTAGTGAAAATTAGCCCTCCATGCCCCAGAAAGATTTTGTAATTTCACATTCTATGTATATCTATTTTGCCAATAGTAATTTGATATGGAATTTTTTATCATTCTATTTTTTCATTGTGAAACTTAGTTTTTGTTAAATAACTCAGATATGCGAAGGTCTTTTAGCTGGATGTCAACCCAAATCCTCTTATATCAAATTTTAGTGGCCATTGAGGGCTGGTCATGGGTGTCATGTTCCTGTGATTGGACTCAGTCACCGATTGCACCAAATGAACAAATACACTGCTTCTTCATTATATTTGACCAAGTTTTATGACTCTGTCACCAATTAACAGATGCATTCATGTTAGCATCAAAAAATTTGACCAAGTTTTATGCCTCTTGAGTGTTACTGTTACCAATTGAAATAATTAGAAAATAAAAGAAGCATGGAAAACATAAGAAAAAGAAATAATTTGTTTTTCTAAATTATTTCTTCTTCTTATGTCTCTTTGCTTCTTTTATGTTCTAATTATTTCAAACGGAAACACTCAAGAGGCATAAAACTTGATCAAATTTTTTGACGCTAACATGAATACATTTGCTAATTTTGTCTAATTTGTTTTCATTGTGTGTGAGTTACTTGTTCATGTGGCGTAAAACTCAGAAAATTAAACTATGCATTTTAGATTTTCTTTTTCTATTGTTCTATACTTTATGAGGTTTTAACATGGGAGTAGCAAATCTAGAAATTTGATTCTTAGTTTATCACGGCATTTCTACATATGGATTTCTTCTATCTATTTAAAGAGTAGATACGAATATAGACAACACATTTTTATGAAATAAAAAACTGGAAATGGATGAATAACGGTTAACTAAGTAAAGTACATCCATAGCATCGGAATATAGAACATTGGACTTAATAGCAGTATCTGAATAAAACTTAAAACCAATTATACTGGGTCCTTTTTTAAGTCTGATATCAAGTTCAATATTTGAACTTTTATCCTTATCTGCAGGGGGAAAAACAAAGATAAATATGGTCATACTTCTATACACTTAAGACCACTCTGTTTACAACCCTGAATTCTAAGCATTTGATTAGAAAGATTAAACTCGAGCTTGAGTTAGCTGTAATCTCAAAAATCAGTCAACCTATTACTGATCATAATACCACCTACTTCGTGATGTTCACATTTAATAAAAGCTATCACTAACTAGATTCTCCACCAATGTAGCATACGATGTTTTCTTAAAATTCAGCTGAACTCATTACCAATCGTCCCAACCTACTTCATCGTATTCAGCTTATAGCTATGGTTTGCCAACACAGCATAAATTTCTACCAGTCATGTTTCTGGATTTTCCTGCATTTTCTGTTTGTTTCTACTATGTTCTCATTGACTGATTGAAAACCTGAACTTTAGCTTTAAGTTCCTGAGACCCATAAGTACATTATTAATTTTCTTGACTTCCAATTAGGAACATGGGGTCCTACTTTTTTCAAGTTGGATGCAACTGTATTTTGTTTATTCTTAAGTTTATTAGAAATTGTATTTTCTTATGACGTTCTACCAATATGAGTATTTTTGCTGCTTTTTACACAAATTTTTATATTCGTCTTCAAATATGCTGAACCATCTGAAAGTTTATAATGAACTTTAACATAAGTAGTCTTTTTTTTATCTATTACTCTGAATCGAGTCTGATTTCCTTCTCCATGAAGCATAAGGTGTAACAATGCATTTTATGATTTCATCCATTTATTTTCTTTTTGCAACTTCCAATTTGCCATTTTCACATCTTCTTTCTGCTATTTTGCCTTTTGTTACTTTTCTCTTTTCGTTCTTGAAAGACCTATATTTCAGGTTTTCAGCCTGAATTGGGTGGAAACTGAAGACATATAATAAATTCAGCTAAAAACAAGCAGATGCAGTTTCTAAAAGACACCAGTTTTTTGTTGTCTTCAGCTGACGGTCGCATATTTGAAAGAGAAACCGGCAACTCAACGGCCAACAACACCCACCACACCGAGCTCCAGTAGCGGAGTACGGTCAGCTGCAGCTCGGTTTCTCGGAGCCAGTAACGGAAGCCGTGCCCTGAGTTTTGTTGGTGGAAATGGATCAAGCAAGGTGGTCTCTGGTAGTAGTAGGGTTGGAGGGTCATTTGGAGGTTCTACTGGATCAAGTGCCTCTAGTATAATCTCCAATTTTGATGGCAAAGGGACTTATTTAATTTTTAATACTGGGGATACTCTTTTCATCAGTGACCTGAATTCACAAGACAAGGTTTCATTTCTTTACTTGTTTTGACTTCTGATATTTGATCATGTTAAGTTCTCTTAGAGCTCAGGGCCTGATTTGCAATGTTACATAGGACCCTATAAAGGCAATTCATTTTAGCCATTCAAACCCTGTTTGTCATGCATTTGATGCTGAGGCCAAGGATGGACATGATTTGCTCATTGGGTTGCATTCTGGTGATGGTAAGTGTGGGTACTTTGTTGGATAATGCCCCTTTTTTAGTTATATGACACCATACTAATTGGAGTATCTGTGGTTTACTTGCATGGTGCTTTAGTCTACTCGGTATCATTAAGACAACAATTGCAGGACATTGGGAAGAAACTCGTGGGTGCTCAGCATTATAACAAAGAAGGCACAGTCAATAACAGGTATTTTTGATCATTTGATTTCTACTGATGGTAATATGCAAGAGCAATCAATATGAAACTTATCTCTCTATCCTCGAGAATACATAATAAATAACATCCTTTATGAATTTATGCAATACTAAAAATAATCAATAGTATCTCAATTGTCCTTTTTCTGCATGGTACTTTCTCTTCATGTGCTAGTTTGGAGTTGAAAGCTACGTCTGTCTATTCCTTGCATGGTCATCCGTCTTGTGCAAAATAGTGTATCTATTAGTTGGATAAATGATCTCATATGTATTGTTTGTAACCTGTAAATGAATCACAAGTGAAAATGTGCTATGCCTCATTCGAATACAAGATATTACTGTTTTTTTGTGAGAAGAATGTGGTAGATGATAGCGCAGGATTTCATGAAATCAGATTGGGCATTCTTAAAGCAGACATATTAGTATATTACCTTGAGGCCATGTCACAATCTCTATAAATTTTTGTGACTACGAAGAGAATGTAGAGTCAATTATTTCTGAAGCTTCAAGTGTTTCATGTTTCCTATTGTTTTTCTTATCTGTTACAAGATTTTCGTATTAAGATCTCAATCAGATCTCCTTTATCTTTAACAGCTAAGTTAGTACTGCAAGCCTGATGGTCTCTTCTGTTATTCTGTCCTTATTTTTATGCAAGATTCATATTAAATCCTTATTTCAAACTTCATATTCTTCAGATAGTTAGAAGGCTTTCTGTTCTTTGCAGCCGTTGCACTTGTGTTGCTTGGGTGCCAGAAGGTGATGGCGCTTTTATTGTGGCACACGCTGATGGAAATATATATGTGTATGAAAAAGTGGGTCTGGAAGCCGCCAGGATATACAAACACTCATCATTCTGTCGCCACATAAGTTTTAATTTATTTAAATTAGTGTCTACTTATTTTGCAGAGTAAGGATGGAACTGTAGATTGTTCGTTTCCTGTTGTCAAGGATAACACTCAGTTCAGTGTTGCACATGCACGGTCAAGTAAGGTATCATGCCATTCTACATCTCAGCGGCTGACAATTCTCAAACTAACTGAAGAATATGTATACTCTGAGTTTTCTGCTGTCTATTCTTAATCTTATACTGACCAAAGAATATATGTTGGTAATCTGTAGGAAGAAAATCTACCTTGCAATAATTGTGTCAACACTGCTGTTGGGAGTTGGAATATCAACCTCTGGTCGATATTCATCAAAACTCTCTACTTTACCATCAAACCTTACTTTCCACTATAACTTGTCATTTTTCCTCATCATTAAAATCATTTTCTCTCTTTCGTGACTACCTGAACTGATTGAAAGGATAGTTAATGCAACTGAGAAGCAATATTACATGCTAGATCTCATTTTGGCACCACTAGAAGAAATCTAAATATATAATCTCTGAAATCCATTTAAAGAGGAAAAAGGAAAGTCCCAATAGTAATTTAATAAGTGTCAAAGTTACCTACAAAAAGTTATAAAGGTCTTTATACAAACATGCCGAGAAAGAGTCGTAATATAGTAGATCAAACCTAAAAGGAAAGTGTTAAAATTAAAATATAAATCTATGCAAGGGAACTTTGGAGGCTAAAAGCATCACTGAAATGATTGAATTTTGCGCAATGACTTGTTGATCAACCAAACAATGGTGATGGCTGTCTTCTGCATCTTTTGAAGATCTTCTTTCGATAGATCACATCGATCATATCTCTTGACCAAAAGTCATGGCTGCATAAAGTTTAATTTTGGAAATCATGATGAATCAGTGATGCCAATCTATTGCCTTATCTTCTGGCTGTTTAATTGCTCTGGACAATTATCTAAGACTTAAGACCTTTACAATTTAGCAGCAAGTTATGGCTTAGGCTCTAGGGTCTTTAGTGGTAAAATACATCCAAAAAGGTTTAAGCTAGGTATTAAAAAAAAGAAACAATAGAAATAGAGAAAAAATTGAGTAAAAGGTCTAAAATAGAAAGATATAGCTTTCGATGGTTCACATTTATAGGCGATAAGAAACATAATATCTCAAAGACATAATTATAACTCATCAATGTCAAAGAAGAGAATTCTAGAAAGTGGTGACAGAATATGCTTATTAAGTTTTAGTTATTTAAACAATAAATTACATACTATACAAGAACAAAAAAATGAAACTACAAAGATCAAGGAGATGTAGATATATAACGGAACATAGAATACTAAAGAAAAGAAGCGTAGTATCATGAAATTGATTTTTTTTTAAATAAAGAAATAAAGTTCATCATAATAAATCTACAATATTGTTTCTACTGACTTCGGTTAGTTAAATACAACATATTCACTTTAACATTCTTAGGTAGGAAAAGAGTCATCAATTTTCAACTTTAAAGAGTGAAGATAACATTAAATATCAATACAAAAATCAAGAGGAGAACAAATTATAATGAATTCAGAAATTTGGCAAAATGGTATGAGAGAATTCCACAATAAAACAATTAAATAATTAAGAATTGATTTTTAGTATTTGAAGGTTTTTACTTCAGAAGATCCTTTCCTATTTAACGTGGTTGTCGTAAGATCATAGAAAAAACAGCAACATGGAAAATACACCTTTATGAAACCAAAACTGGTTTTAATTGAGTTTAATTAGGCAAAATAAATGCATGGTGGGTGGACCTGCATTTTTTATCCCACTTTTGCACTTTAGAAAGCAGGTTAAAGGTCAGTATAAGACTTCGAGTCTTTAAAGTGTGTTAGGTGTTTTTACTATAGCTTTTGGCCAAAACCAAGTGACCACTGGTTTGTTTTAGCCAAGGCTGGGCTTTAGCATATCTTTGAGGGTTTTTAGAACAATGGTTTAATGATCAAAACATTTTGAAACCCATACAATCCTTTATTGGGTTAAAATATCCTATGTGATACGTTTTATGTACACGGATGTGTTGGCATGGGTCCTAACTCTTGTTGACTATGATGTAGTTGAGGGACTCCAATATCAACAACCAAAGGAGTAGCTTGGATAGTATAAGTGATTTACTTAAGTACTGCAAATGGTAGCTAACCTGAGTTCAGTATCAAGCTATTTATGGTCTTTTTTGTACATCTGTGGCTTTTTTATGCATTATTCATCTTAACCGTGTACTTTGATAATTATCAGCTGTTGCTCCCAATTTAGCTTAATACTGCGGTGAAACCCTCATAATTTACTGTACTGATTTTAAATGGTCATCTAGTTTTGTATTGAAGTACTGAGTTTATGTCTGTACACTTAAGTGACTGCTGTATTAGAGGTGAGCTAATGGTGCTATGATGCGCCTGATATAGTCATTACGGGGTTACCTATTATTATTGTTAGCCAAATATTGGCTTTTGTTTGTTCATCTATTGAATTATTCTACCATGCTCATTTATACATGTGTATCTTAATATCATAAAATCCCTTAAGGTTGTCTTTTAAAATATGTGCAGAGCAATCCTATTGCTAGGTGGCATGTTTGCCAGGGTACAATCAACAACATTTCTTTTTCGATGGATGGGACATATTTGGCGACTGTTGGTAGAGATGGTAATTATTCATCTGAAATATAAATCTTTCTTAAGAGGGGGAAAAAATGTCCTTGTGTTTACTCACAGTGTCACCTGTTTCACATTTATTGAATGAGCTGCCCTTTTCAGGTTATTTAAGAGTGTTTGACTACTCGAAGGAGCAACTAGTATGTGGTGGGAAAAGTTACTATGGTGCTTTACTCTGTTGTGCTTGGAGGTAATGACATCAAACGTGTAATCTTTATATTATTTGACCACTTGCATGTCTAGTTAGGCTTATTCGGCACGCACTCAGCTTGGATTCTAAATACTCTCTGGTTACTGTTAAAGTTTAACTGCAACTTTCAAGCTCTTATAATCTTGACTATTATTTTATGATGTGTCAACTGTTCTGTGGCAGTTCCCTTCCTTTCAGTATTTTCCTGTTTTATTTTTATATGATGCAAAAGCTCCATATTTCTCCTTCCATCATGAGAGATGCATTTTAATGCGAAAGAACCTATGAGGCCTTGAAGGACAGTAGAATAAAAATCAAGAGTGAATTGCCATAGCCATATTGGATGATATATGAGTTTTAAGTTTCTCCTTGTAACAACCTCCTGCTGGAAAATAGCCCCTATACCCCTTCAGCGCATTACCATCCTGCTAGATGCATGTGTGTTCACTCCCCCTAGATGCATGCACATGTGCTCACACACAAACACATACACACAATCAAGACCTAGGAAACAAATGGCAACCATATGCGCTGTTTCTAACTTGTGATGGGTAAAATAGTCATTTTCTTATATGTCGCCATATGTTTTGCGTGTTATCCATGAAGGAGCGACCAACTTAATTTTTCATGTGCACCCATGTAGAAGGTATTTATACGCACTTTTACAGCTATCACACTCTATAATGTAACAACTTCGGACAAATGCACTTTTTGATTTAATATCCTCGAGATAGTATCTTTTAATAAATAGAATACATTAAGATGAATTTTGTAATGTGTATACTTTGGCATGTTTAGACAACCATGGACATCATGAAATATACTAATTCTTTGAGAAATCTACATTTCAAATCTAGGAAGTCCGTTTGGCAGGTAAAATAGCAACTTTACGAGTTAATGACCTTATCACAATGACGTGACATCCAATTTCCTTATCCGAGCTAGAACTTTCATTTTGCATTTTGAAATACCAGAGATGTACTAAACAAAAAAAAGTGTGACCTTAAGACCTTATATCCAAATGGACCTTACACGTGTAGTTTCTCCCATTGTTGTTTCTATCCGTAATTCTTTAAAATTTATTTCGGTTCATTCTCTTTTATAGCTGCATGTCAATTTTGTCAAGCATGAATTGGTTACATATTAAATCCATGGGACTAAAGTCTAATATACGGTATTTTTGGCCTGACTTTTTTACTATTTCAGTTCTGATGGGAAGTACATACTGACTGGTGGTGAAGATGATTTAGTTCAAGTCTGGAGCATGGAGGACCGGAAAATAGTAGCATGGGGCGAGGGGCATAATTCTTGGGTAATCTGAAGATATTAATTCTTGGGTAAAATCTGGAGATATATTTTGCATCACTTCTCTGCTAATATTAATTAGTTTATCGCCAGGTTAGTGGAGTTGCTTTTGATTCCTATTGGTCATCTCCAAGTTCTGATGATACAGGAGAAAATGTCATATATCGGTTCGGTTCTGTTGGCCAGGTAAAAGTTTTACCTAAATCAGTCTCACGCACACAAACATAAACAATTGTACCCATGCACGGACCATAATCACAATTATCAGGACCTCATGCTTTATCGAATCTCCTTCTGGGGTCAGCTAAATGAATTATACCGCGCTATTCTCTCTAGTTAAGGAGACGTCGTGCAATATTATCATATATGTGGTACCTTTGATTAGAATTTTGTTTATCATTAGCACTTAATCTCATAGTTAGCTGCCTACTCAACTTCAGTCCTTGACCTCTATCCATTTGGCATGGGACCTCTATTACGAGAATTCATTCAAAAGCTCAACCATTAGATTCTCTATAATATTTCTCTTTTTCTTTCCGTGTGTAATAATCACCATAGTAATAATGAATCTTGGTCCCAGCCTTCTAGTTAGAGGGGATCATATGATTTCACACTTACAATTTCTTTGTTTGGGATACTTATGGTTAAATTTCACAAATGACAAAACCCCCTAAAATTTAGGGCGTTTCCATTCCCCTGAACTTAGCTCAGAATATTTATGGTTAAATTTCACAAAGCCCCCAAAAACTTTAGGGTGTTTCCGTGAAAGCCTCTGAACTTCGTTTTTCCCCCCCACTAAAGCCCCCATAACATCTCAAGCAACCCCCAGAACTTTTAACTTTTCCCTCAAATCCCCTGAAAAGTCCCTCTCTCTCTTTTATCCCCTGAAAAGTATCTATCTTGTTGTTTACTATTATTTTCGATATCCGTGGACCACCGGGGCACTCAGATCTGGTCCGAGAAAATCAGGCAGAGTTTCGTCTATCCGCGAAGGGATTTAGAAACTCTGAACCCCGTCGATCTGCGTGAGATCTCAGAGGTGTAAAGCTTATGTCTCGGCTAAAACGAGGCACTAGCTCTCCTTTGTATCACCGCTAAGGGCAACACTAAGGGAAAAGAAGGGGGAATGAAGAAGAAGACTCCTTTGCTGCAGAAGGCTCGCTCACTCCTCGATCCGGCAGGGCTTCGCCGCTCTCTTAGAAAACCCCGACTCCTTCCTCCGGCAGGGCTTCGCCGCTCCTCTCTGGAATTTCAGATCTCAAAGGCTAAAGCTCTAGATCTGAAATTTCTCTCCCAAAACCAAGGCCAAGAGAATGGAGGCCCTAGGGGCCTATTTATAGGAAAACAAAGGGGGGGTAGGGGCTGGTTGAGGACACCCCCTAGGGGGGTGTCTCGGCTCCAAAACCGAGACACCCCTTGGGGTGTCTCGGCCATGGCCGAGACACCCCCCATGGGGTGTCTCGGCCAAGGCCGAGACACCCCCTTGGGGGTGTCTCGGCCAAG